TGGCTCAACTAGCCATGATTTCGAACATCTTCACTGATGGCGCATGCACCCGGCCAGTTGCTCCTGAACTTGCCGTCGCAGCATGGGGTGTGGTTAATGCTTCTTCAGGTTTGATTGTTGCCACAGGTCACCTGCCAGGTGTTTACCAGTCTGCACCCAGGGCCGAGCTGTTCGGCCTTCTTTCTGCAGTTAGTTGGGTTAGGGTTTCCTCTGCTAATGGGGTTATCTGGTGTGATTCCCTAGGATCAGCTGAAGGCTTGCACCTGCTGCTCCAGGGAGATGAGCCGCCTTGCTCCAGTGACAACTTCAACATATCTGGCAACGCATCTGGGATCAGGTTCGCGAGCTCCGTGTTGGGCAGCTTCGCGTCCAGCACATCACATCGCACTTGGACCCTGCCCTATGTGATACTGCATTCGAAGAGTGGATTGCAAACTGGAATGCTTTTGCTGACACAGTCGCGGGGACTACGAACGCCAACCGGACTTGGACGTTTCAGCAGGTGTTCCTTCGCGCTCAGCATTATTACGATGATACAGCAAAGTGCCTTCGAGCGCTTCGTGCTGTATATCTTGGGATCGCCAACGCTGCCGGACAAGACTCTCAGCGACAGGGGCCTGAGATTGAGTATGATGCGGCGGACGTTGAGGCATGTGAACTCCCTATAGGGCAAATCAGGAATGACTGCCTGCAGGATGTCCTTCCAATAACCTGGAAAGAAGAGTTGCTGCGAGGGGTCGCTCCACATCTGAGGCCAAGAACCTTGAAGTTTGCACAGTTCTTGTTAGAGCAAGACTCTAGTTCCGACCTTGCATTCCCGGTTTCGTGGCTCGAACTTGTTGCGATGTTGTGGATTCGGGATTCTGGTGTTTGGAGGGTTGATTCCGGAGTTGATCCACGATTGCATGCCCAACAGTCGCTGAACAGCTGCGACTTTTCCGTAGATTCGGACTTCATTTCTTAAAGCATTTCGGTGTGCAAACCTTGCGACTGTACAGGATTTCCGGAGTTGCCTGGGGTTATGGTTTTCCCCTTGAAGGTGTTATGATCGGGGTGTCTCTTGAGTTGTTGCAGGAGGGACGGGCCTTGCTTCGGGAGTACGCAGGTGGGCACTTTTGCCGCACCATCTTGGACTTAGAGAAACGTTTCTGAGTCGCCCCAATGACGGGCTTTTGGACCGAATTCCTGGATCGAGGGGCTGCACTGCTTGCGCTGTGCAACCGTTGCAGAACTTGTGTGCATAAACAAGACCCTTACTGGTTCCTAGTACGGAGTATGGGAATATAATCCCGAAATACCCATAGATGATATATTCCCACATATCCCTACTAAGAACCAGTGAGTAAAAAAAGGGTTGAGAGGAAACAGTACTTTGCGTTTCGGCCTGAACATGGAGCTGATACGTCGCGAAGGAGATGACGTAAACATGTTGCAGGCTGATGCCTGGTTTAAGGATTACGTTTTAGGGTTTAAGGATAGGGTTTAGGGCCTAGGGATAAGGGTTTAGGGATTAGGGTTTAGGGCATCCCTTTACAGAGCAGTTTGTGTTGCGACGCTTGTGCTACTATGTTTCAGCTCTCTTGAAGTGTCGTCCATTCTGGCCCCGGAAGGTGATACTTTAGGATTTTTTTCCGGGGACCCGAGGGACCCTCAAGGGTGCATATAGGGTATAGTATTAGGGTTTAGGGTATAGCATTAGGTACACAAGGATCACAGGGTTAAGGGCCCAGACTAGGGCCCATGGTCTCAACCTTGAAAAAAACTTGCAACAGTTCTGAAAAAATCGAGTTTAGGAAGTTTAGGGTTTAGGGCCCCCCTAAACCCTAAATTCCTCATGTTTGGACAACATCTTTTTGGTTGTCAGGTGGAGACCAGCAGGTCCAGACTGGTCTGGAGCTCAAGCCCTGCAGGTTGCTTTGTAAGCTATAGTCTAAGCCCCTGAAAGGAGGGATATGTATGGGATTATTTAGGGGGGGGTGTTTTATGGGGGTTACTAAAGGGGATACTAGGAGTTCAGACTATAGCTCATGTATTTCCACAATCAAGGGCCTCTTTTCGGGAGTCCGTATTCTGTGGGTCAGAGCATTTTGGGGTGTGTATGAGGGTTTTGTGTTTATGGGAGCCCCCTTGTGAGTTATGTTTCGAAGTGCTCGATGTTGTTAGCGTTGTGAAGTTATTTGGCTCCATTCGCTCTGACATCATGATTTCTCTGAGCATGCCGCTCATGTGCCACTGGTGGTGGGCCGGGACAGTCGCCCTCATCTGCTTGACTCTCAGCATCATCATGGCTGGCTGTGAGGCTGTAAGGGCGCCACCATTTTTGACATTTGCCCTTTGTGGCATGTGTGCTTCAGACATGATGTGGCTTGGAACCAACGCCTGCTTCGAAGCATTGAGAACAGAGATTGAACGCTGGAGTATTGTGCCTGATCCACAGCGGCAGCATGCCTCCACACACCAAGCTGCCGTACAGCAGATAAGAGCAAAACTCACAGGCTCTTTTTTGGACTTGTGCATCTTCACGAGTGCCTGGCCTTCGGTTAGCTGGGAATGAAGAAATGGAAAAGAACATAGAAACTTCTATTAATGGGTTACCTATATAGGGACTACTAGAAGGATTCATTCCTTCATTCCCAGCTCAGGTGTTTGGTTTGTCAGCAATCTGTCCTTCGACTGCGAGGTTGGCGTCTTGTGGTCCGTGGTCGGATTTCTGCTCATGCTTTGTTTGCTGGATTTCGGTCTATGGTCATGGCACAGCCTTTTGCATCTGCCATCCATGTACACATATCACAAGCTTCACCACTCTGTACGCATCACGCAACCATGGACCAACGAGGTGGAGCATCCGGTCGAGGCGCTAGGGAACGCTGCGGCGAAGTATGGCAGCGTTGTGCTGGTGTCCAATTGCTTTCAGCTGAACCCCATGGTTGTCCTCGCATACTTCATGTTCTCGACTTGGTATGGGGTCATGGTTCATTCCGGCTACAATTTGCCACCATTTGATTGGATTGCAGGGACGCCAGCATTGCGGTTCATCACAACTCCCAAGCATCACCAAGACCACCACTTGAATGGTGCGAAGAACCTGGGGGCTATCACTTCTATTTGGGACACGCTCTTCCAGAAAGCCATGTCCACCAAAACGGCCTCTCCCAACAACTGCAAGGGCAGATCCAGCCGAATGGGCAAAATGTGGAAAAAGGCGAGTCTCCGCAACATCAGTGACGACCAGCTGAAAGACTTGGTTAAGGCGGTCCGTGCTCATGGGATGATCGTGACTTGGATATAGCCCCTATAACCCTTAGAACCCTCATATTATATAGCCCTCATAATCCGGTTTAGAGTTTAATGTTTAGGGTCTAGGGTTCAGACAGGAGGAAAGAAAAATCACATACTGTAGAACCTCTTAGAACATAGGTTTGGGGTCTAGGGCTTAGGATTTAGGGTTTAGGATTTAGGGTTTAGGGTTTAGGGTGGTGGACCGTGGTGGATAGCAGGGAATGGGGGAATGGATCCCTCTTGTAACCTTCATGTAACCCTCACAGTAGTCTTGAAAGCTCATGCCATTATGCCCTAGGAACCCGGAACCTCCAACCCAAACCGCCAAGAGCAACTCTATATCCTAATCTAGCCCTAGATCCTAACTCCAAGTCCCAAACCCTAAGTCTTAATCCCCCAGACCTAAACTCAAACCCCAAACCTTAGATCCTAAACCTTACATCCTAATTTCTGAACCCTAAACCCGTCAACCACCCTAAACCCTAAACCCTTTCCGTAAGGTGATACCAAATCAATCCTGGAATCTCGACGAACAGGAGGCCTTCGCTTGGCGATTGGGGAAGCTCACTGCGACAGTTGTGGGCCAGGCCCCAGACTTTGGGAAGCATTTGAGTAGTTTTTTTTTGGGGGGATACTATGGTCCCCAATATAGAGTACGATTATCTCCTCCTTTTGGGTATATATGGTATTTATATAAGGAATACAATCTTACTAGGTTCAACCACCGAAAGAACACTGCTCATTTGGGTTCGTATAGGGGTTATATAAGGGTATATATACAGGGAGAATGGAACGGAAAATGCAAACTGCTATTTAGGGTTTAGGGTTCAGGGACCAGTTGGGGACCTATGACCTATGTATGTGTAAGTCATTTTGTGGGTCTGTAAAGTGCAACCCAGGATTACTTCGAGGTCCATCCCAGGATTGTTCGGCTCTCGAATTTCCGTGCTGATGGCACCTGGAAGGGTCCCAACTATCAGGCAGCAGAAGTGTGGCACCAAGATGGAGATTACATGCGGATGTCCCAGCGCCACATTCTGACAGTGCTATCCGCGGACAAGATCCCCAAAAGCGGAGGCGGCACAGGCTTTGTGGATCTTGTTGCGGCTGCTGCGGCTCTTCCATCCTCACTTCGTGCTAAGGCCAAGAGCCTGAGCTGCTTTTCTTCGGCACGACGAAATGCAGAGTATATGAAGAGAAACTCGGCTGCTGTTAAGGAACTTCAATGGAATTACGCTCACAATGTGGCCAATATGGCCATGTAGGACGAAGCAGGGTTTACATAAGAAATTGTGATACCTGTACCTTGTTTTAAGCTCCTCAGCAACAAGCAAGGAGACTTTACCGCAGAAGATGCAGAGAGATTCCCTGACCAGCGCACGCCCGTGCTTCATCGACACCCTCGTGATGGCCGGGAACTGCTCCTAATGGGATCGGAGCTGTCGGTCTTCGAGGACCTGGAGGAACAGCCAGATCCGGAGACAACCCAGTCCCTCTTCCAACATGTGCTGTCCCCTGAGTGGATGTATTTCCATCAATACATGCCAGGCGATGTTATCATCTGGGACAATTTGCAAACGCTGCACAAAGCCATGCCCTTCGTCAATGATGGGTGTGACGTTCGTCTTCTTTGGCGCGCACAAGCACAGGTGACAGAAGCTTTCCAATGGTAAGGTGACACAACTTCACAACATTCACGAACTCTTGGCGCCGCTGCCATGCTTGCTTTGCTTTTGCCGTCCCATGGGCATGCCGCCAGGGCATGTAAAGTGTGAATTTGGAATTTGCATGTAAAGCGTGCAGAAGCAGCTCTTGAGCTTCCGGGGTTGACTGCTTAGCGCCAGGAGCTGCACATGGGCTTGCACCCCCCCAAGAGCGATGTACAGTTCTGGGTTGCTATTGAGGAACTTGGATTGGGTGGTACGGTGGGATAACTTTGGGGGCCTTTGAACCTACCATTCAGTGAAGTTGCCGTTACAGGGAAATCATATGGCTTACTATATATCGGATCCATGCTATGAAGCTGAAGTTCCTTTTCAGCAGCCCAGGTGCAGGGTGCAGATGCATGTGAAGTAGTCTGTAGTACCGCGTGTGCGCAGGCTGAGTTTGAGTTTCGGCTGAGTGCTGAGCCTTGTAGTTATTCTGCGTAGGTTGCATAGATAGGTTGGGTTGCGAATGAGGCAGCCTAACAAGCAACAGCATCTACAAGCGCGTGATCATGGTGCTGGGTCGTTTGTTCGAGAAATGCTGTGATGCTGCTGTGTATGCCCGTCTCTCTCTTCGAAGTTGAAGAATGTGGCAGGCCCTGAAAAGAAGTGTGCTTCTATCGTTGCCGTGGCATGAATTGTCGCATCGGGCTGCAAGCCCTGTCATTTGGACACTGCTCCCCCACCAAAAACAATCTTGCAAATTTGTACTCAATGTAATGGTGGAACACCCATCGTCAATGTCCTCTGTATGTATACACCTAATCATACAGAACTGAAACAACCTAGGTTGCTGCTCAGGAACATACATTAAGTTACCAGAATATGTGCATATAGTACATAATACGGTCCCCTTGTTATAGTTACTTCTTTTTCCTTAGCAGCAACCCAGCATAGGGTGGGGGCAGTACCCTAAACCCTCAACCCTGAACCCTGAACCCTAAACCCTAAATCCTGAACCCTAAACCCTGAACCCTAGATTTCAGATGCCGTCCGCTGCTCTCATTGCAAGGTCAGGATGTGACGTTTCGCAGAAACGCCGGCTCTTCCGGCGCACCCGAGGAGGCTCCTCCACTTAACATTTAGGGTTTAGGGTTT